GATTGCTCTTCACTAAGATACATCAGGCAAACATCCAATAGATATGTGTACGATATATTTGCTTGCTGATCTGACTGCCCCAAAGCATGCAAAAACAGTGAAATGTGCACAATTGTTGCCAAATATAATTTTATTCAAAGTTTTGCTGGGACTTTGTTAAAAAGAGAAAAATTAATCACCCCCCTTTTCTGTAGAATATATTTGTGCTTCAAGTAAATTTGAAATAAAGGTATTTTGGAAATTCTTTACTTGCATTCCAAAAAGAGTAATGGTGCTCTGCTTTAGTCATGAGGACTCATCTTGCTAAAACAATTGATTTCTTGCTTGTTTTGCTTTTTCTTTTGGAGTAGCTTATTTTTATTTCTCTATCCTGCTTCCTAGAGATTATGTAATGTTGCTTGGGATTCAGTTCTAAGAAAATCATTTCTGTTGAACACACAGAAAGAATTGGCTTTCAGTGCAACTTGGGATTTCGCTGCAGAACAGAACACCAGAATGCAATTACTATCCAGGTATTCTTACCTGAAAAAAAATTTCAAGGAGCCAAAAACACGTATACAGTTCTTTTAAAATGCTAGCATAACAGCAATGGAGAATCCACACTTTGTATAGGCAGTGAGGGGTATACACTCTGTCTTGGGATTGTGTGATTGTCTTTATCATTGGATTCTTAAACTATATTGCATATTTAACGTAGATATTTGCATCTGTAGGTTATATGCACACTTAGTAATTTTGAATGCGTGTCCATTTCTTTCTGCAGGATTAACTTAATTGTGCAGTTTGGCTGTTTTTTAAGGATTTGGCAAATGCTTAAAAAAACGCCATTAGTTTAGTAGAGAACTAAATGCAACTAGTGTAAGCAGGTAAGATGTGGAAAGACTTCACAGAACATAAAAAGAATATTACTATCAATACTAGAACATGATAGCCATATTACAATCAATACTCTTTCATTCTCTCCACTTCAAACAATATTGGTTCAAGAAGTCAATATGGCCCAATGAATACATGCCTTCATAACACTACATCATTTGGAATGTTGATGTAAATTATTCTTTTCTCATTTAATATAGTATTTTCAATGCTTGTCTTGTTCCCCTGACAATCTATTCACTCAGTTAGTTATTCAATATATCAGTAAATGAGAATAGAAATCCAGCAGGTAGCATAACTAAATCAAAAACAAAATCCAGCCCTCTCCTATCTACCAATGACTGAAAAGCTTTTTGACTTTTTCTCAGCTGGGTCTACTGAAAAAACAGACAGTATGAACACTTGCTGTGTCAAAAAACACAGAACCTCCTGCCCAAGAAAAGCCTTAATGAAATACCAAGGAAAAAATTAAAACAAACAAACAAACAAAACAAAACAAAACAAAACAAAGAAACAACAAGAAAAAACACCAAATACCAACAAGAAGAAATAGAGATTGGATTCCAGAAATAAGGCCCTCCTCTTTAGCGCACCATACACACCAGAAATGTGACTGAGGACAAACCAGCTGCCACCTCCACTCAAGCTTCCTGAATTGTGTTACACCATTGACTAAAGCCACTTTCTATCTTGCCCACAACCACAGTTAAAAAAAGATGGCAAAAAATAGCAACATACTTTTAAGTCGTATTCTTAGAATGAAAGAAGCAGGAAAAAAAAAATCAATTAACCCTAATACTAATATCATTATAATATAAATATATATAAAGAAAGTTGAAAAAAATTGTGCAATACTCACCCAAAGTGGTGCAAATCTTTTGTCTTTCCCTATGACAACCTCTCAAATTCATATAGAATTTGTCACACATGGGCCTTGTGTATGTTAAACAGGAGCTTACTTCAGCTTATTACATTTCATTAATTTCAAGTTAGGTAAAAATTTGTATGAAATTCCTTCTTTGGAATCAGCCCCATCCCCCAGAAAAAATTAGTGGGCAATTTAGAAACCTTTTATTCTTTCTTTAGATCTCATTTTCAATTTTTTTTTTCTTTTCTTTGTCCCTCAAATATGTCATAAACTACCCTTTATGGAATTACTTGGAATGCAGGTTATGAGATGGTGAGTAAGATTATCCAAATTTAATTCCATAGCAATATTTAATACAGGCTGGGGATGAAAAGAAACAATGAGATTGATCTCACCTACCTGTATCTTCACCACACACCTACATGGAGGATGACACATATTGTTTACTGCAAGAAAATCTACAGATGTTAAAGGAGGATCATTTTAAGCATGTCTGATGCATGTCAATGCCTAACAGAATGATGAGCAATATAACACATATCAGATTGAGCCAACTCCATTGAGTTGAGCATGCAAAATAATGAATGTTGAAAGGAAGTTTGGGTAATACTCAGCAAAGTTTAAGCTACTCGACAAGTTCAAGTGATGCCATTCTGCTATGATAAAAATAATAATCTGAAGTCAAAACAATAAGGTTCAGTAAAAGCAGATTTCTGAGGCTGTCACCATGTTTTCTTACACCACTGTGAAGTAAATCTGGCATCCTAGTCTTCTTCACAGACTTGAATAAGTCTCTAAGACTGTCTTGTTCATGTTTTAAAGACTGCTTTTAACTCTAATTATGAGAATAAAAGTATTTCAAAAGTATTTTGAGCACACTGTGAAGTTCCACACAGCAACTCACAAAACTCTAAGCAGGAAAGAGAAGGAAAGAATCAGGGCAGAGAATAGGGTATAATTGTATAGATAAGGATTTGTAACCAGGATCAGAAAACAGAACCATGGGGACTAAGCAGTGTCATCACTTTCTTTAAAGAAAATGCAAACAGCAGAGTGCGGACAGTGTTGCAGAGAGCAATACTGATGGTTCAATTTCTCTTTAAATACACATTTATTTGTTTTTAGTACATCTCAAACTTAAATGAAGCCAGAACAGAAAGCAAAAAGAAAAGAAATTATGGTTTAAAAAAAAAAAAGAAAAGAAAAGGAACATTATTGGCATTGCATGGAAAATCCAATAGTTTTCAAGGGGAAAAAAATGGCAGAAATGCTTCCCAAAATTTTGTTTCAAGTCAGATGGAAATATACTAAATTCAACATGTGTTATGTACAGAAACTGGAGAAAAGAAAAACAAACAACAAAACAATAACAACAAACGAACAAAAAACCAGCTGTTTTACAAATACAAATCCCATAGCTTTTCACTGCAGCCAGTGTACAGGTTAGATGAGTATCATTGAAAATACTCGAGTACAACATGTAAAGCCTAGCTTCAGAGCCTGAGCTGAAAAACGTGAAAGAATACATACTTCATAATCAGAATTGCCATTCATTGTTAATATCTAATGGCTAGAGGCACTAATATGAATAACATTTTCATTTCAGTAAATGCTCTATTCTAGGAGAGTGGCTGCAGGCTCTGACACCGTGGGGCAGTGAGGCTCCCAGCCTTGGGAAGAACTGTTTCTAATTGCTGCCTGCCATGTGATAGGGACATCCAGCACCAGTGGGGGAAAGGTCCATAATCTTATGGAAAAATACAAAGCATGTCTCTAACCTACTAAGTTCCTCATGTGTCATGAACAGGCACATCTTCACACAACACAAAGGCACAATAAGCCCCAAGCTGATTGCTAATAAATGTAATGGGTAACAGTGGAATAGAAAGATACATTAACCTCTTACCACAGCACATTTCATTCATAAATTACAAAATCACACACTAATTTGAACAAACAGTTGGATGCTTTCTTCCCTTCTATTTCAAAGTGTTTTTTCTTCTTCATTTAAAGACAACATAATAAAAACAAATGAAAACATTCTTTCATTTGTTCATTTCATTTCAAACCTTCCACAGCAACGTTTTAACTTTGGCAGCTGCTCTACTTAGACATTACTGCTGATAAAACAAAGCTTCTCCACTCCACCTTCAGCACAATAGCACTGCAGTTAAAGAGCAGCAAGAAAAGAACCAAGAACAAGACATCATTCTTGCATAATGTGTTTACCAGAAATCATACTGTAAACACAGGGAAGATCAGTTCAAGAATTTAAGTGTGTTGATGAACGTAGTGAATGGATAAATGTTTAAGAACACTGTACAGCTTACTTCATGACTACAGTACAGATCATGCAGGCACTGCTGATGCTGAGTAAATTACAAACAAGAAGTGTTACTTTTTCTATTTCTAAAACTGCTTTTTCAATTATAAAAGCTGAGAGCATACTTCCTTCAGGCCTGCTGCTTCTTCTCAGCTTGAACACAGGATTTCAAAATGTTCATAAAGCGGTCTTAATAAAGGTAGCTGCACTAAGCAACTCTTTAGACAGCCCAAAAGCTTCCCTTTCCACACCCCCCATTAAAAAAACAACAACAACAACAAAAAAACACACCTCATGTGCCTTTCCAAACAAACATTATTGTATAAGTTAATACTCTGAATACTCTAATGCTGAAAAAACATTTGCAGAGATATGTAGCATTTGTAGAACTTCATGGGAGCAGGGAACAAGGCTTGTTGAAACTTTTATATGGGAAGGGGGGAAGAAAAAAATAAAGATTCACAACCTAGGTTCAGGAAATCTACCCTGTTTACACTACCAATACACGCACAAAATATTTGAACCTCTTTTTCCAGTTCCTGCATATGCTTAGCGTTAATTTATATCTGAAAGCACACATACCATAAACAACCCAATGGACAGCGTTTGCTTGTTTGAAACAGTCTGAGGAATGGGGTGACCTTTATCACTACTAAATCTTCATGCTGAGTGTGAAGCAAGTTCCCATAAAGAGGTATTTACTACCAATTCTACATAAGTTATGGAAATTCTACATAAGTTATGTATCTACTGTAGCTGTTTAACACCGAGATATCTGCAACATTTACCAACAAGCAAGAAATAAGATGAGCTAAATATGTTCAATTCTTAAGTTATAAAAATAAAAAGCAGTCCATCGTTATGATAATAGAACAGAGGAAACTAGATTCTGCTTAATCTTTTAAAGAAAATTTTGCATGCTGTTGCACTTACCCTTAGCTGTTCTCTTTCGCAACTCATCTGTTGATTTGAACTCTGCAGAAGGAAAAAAGAGAAAAGCTTTGAAAGCATAGTATTCTTGCAGTAACAAAGCTGTTATGTCTGCACAGAATCATTATTGCAGAAAAAAACTTTTTTTTATTATTTTATTTTACAAAGGTCAAATGAAATAACACCATAATCCACCACAAATCTGAATTATAGATGTGTTTTTGAGAGTTAAATATAAGAATACTCTTTAAAGATCTCACTGAAAGTCCAGTTTGGAGAAAAGCTTTCTTTTTTTTCTTTTTTTATGAGATCTTTGTTATATCTTGGAGTATCCCACTACTAAGATAGCATCACGCGTTCACAGCACAGTTTAAGATATAAAGATATAAGAACTTCCAGAACAAATTAAATGACAACTTCCAGCTCTGACCTAGTACAAGAATAACCTTAAGGAGACTGGATTCTAAGGCATTTTTACCTCCATACTGCTCTTTTAATAACTGCTACATCTATGAGAAACATTTGAGTGTGTGATTTGGTTGCTGAACAACTACTAATTAACAATTAACCACCTCGCTACCAATTACCATCAGATACAAGTCATCAGTCAGTGGCAGCACAATTTGTGAAGCGATTACCTTGCCAAAAAGAAAGAGGCAACTCCTCTACAACAGAGCTCAAAGAAACCAAGCAGTAGCACTGAAGTGTTCAGTTGCAGCTTTCTTTCCAGCTCCACAACTTCTAAACGAATCCTGCCATGGGCACCTCTAGCGCCCCAGAAGGTGTGCTCAAGGAGGCACGACGTTGTTGAACCGCCAGTCTCTAGTAAGAGGTTTGGGCTGGTTGGTTGGTTTTTTGTTTTGTTTTGTTGAATCATTTCAGAATACAGTAACTGTTGTTACTGAGTGTCATTAACTTTGAAAGTGTAATCGTCATTTTTGTAATTAACGCATACAACAAACATAATTCACAAAACATGAAAAAGAAATGAGATGCTACATTGTTTTTTTGAGGATATTTTGGGATGTTCAAAATACGCTTTCCACTACTTTTCACTTACAAAATATTCGAACATGAAACAATACCCGTTTGTACAAGATATTTTTACTCCACGCTGATGACAAGAAGCGGAATTTCTCAGGCAAAATCAGGTGACTTACAAAAGAATAAAACTGCCAGCCCATTTTTTTCAACACAGAAGAATAAGTTCTAACAAATAGGGAAACCTTCTCCATACAAACCAGAAGCATTACCACTAAGATCCTGGTTTTCTTTTGGAACTGGGACAAATGAGCTTTCAATACATTTTTATAGTTCTTACGAGGGATAAAAATGTAAAGGAATTCAGTATAGATCTATTTACAATCTTGCCCTAAGGAGTAAAATTAAGTTCAGTTAAAGTGTCCTGCAGGCAGATGATTCCATTCTTCAAAGTTCACTCTTTCACGCTCTTTATGAATTATTATTAAATTACATTAGACTGCATTATAAATGTACTTCCATTAAGTCTCAGAAGTTTATTTGAGATCTGAATCTGCTCTAGATGCATCTAATTCATGCTACTAAAAAACTGAAGTATAAACAGGCTTTAAATGAGTTGGAGGGGAGACGTGCGTATCTCCACACTGCAGATTTTAACTGCTTTCACCCAAAAGAAAAGCATGAGTAGACAGACTATTAGATAGTGGTCCTATGCACATTAAAACAAACAAGTTTAAAATCAAATTCATCTAAAGCTACACTCTGATTGTAGGATATATTCATCAACATCATCCTATGACTATTACATTATTCAGTTTTGACCTGAGCAGTCATAACATAACACAAACACCATGTTTTTATTTTCATGGATAGAAAAAAGGGTGCACAAAGAAATGAAGAAACTTGTTCAGAGCCATTTGCCAAACTAACAGCACTTAGCACACCAAGCAACATCCAGAATGATTTGTCTTTATAATATGCTGAGTATGTGGAAATAACAGGTGAGAGAGGGGGAGTGATTTGGAAAATTCAAAAAAGCAAAAAAGAAAAAAGTGTATCAAACTTCTGTAGGGTGGCACAAAGGTTATAGTTATTGGATATTTAAGCAGATAATTAACTGTTCTAATTAGTCATTACTGCCGTTGTTTTGAATGATGGAACCTTTAAACATAAAATTGACAAATGTCCAAAGCCAGAGAGACTAGAACAGTAAACACTATTCAGGATTGAAATGAAGCATTTATGAAAGGTGTGAGAATACAATACAGTGGCAGAAAAAACAATGATATCAAATATGAGCATGTCAGTAGAAAGGACTGTGTCTTACATGCAACTGCAGGAAAATAAAGAGAAAAAAAAGCAACCATTGGCTTTAGAACAATGAACTTCTATATGAGAGAGTTGTATGTTAAAATATACTTGGGCTCACAATCTATCTCCACATCCATGGTTTTTTAAAAGAAATGGAAGTAAACAGTAAGAGTGATATGCACGATACACCATTGGTAACACTTTCCTTTGTTCAAAGTTCAGCAAATCAGATTCATATGTTTCAGCTATGATCACTTGGTGATGGCTCCTTCCAGAGAATGAACTTCCATATAAAAAGTTCCCTTGTCAACCAATCAGTGCCAAGTTTGCTCTCTCTCTCTCTCTCTCTCTCTCTCTCTTTATATTTTAGCTGTGTGTGCCAGTTTAAAAAAAGCATCCTGGCAGTACTGAGCACTTAAGGGAAAACATAAATAATGCATTCATCGCATGTAAACCTGAACAGATAAACCAAAGGAACGGAAAGCCATAACATATTTAATTAATGATCAAGATACCTTTGAAATAAATCTTGAGTACGTCCTGCAATTTTAAATAGATAGCTTCTCAACCTTAAATTTAATTCATTATATCTCTGAATTGAACCATATGCAATGAACTATTTATTTCACTTAGTTCAAAACTGCACAAAGAACCTGGTCAATACATTCAGTGTCATTATGTCAAGCTCTCACATACCACAGTTTAGTGGAAGAATGCCCAAAATATTGATTCTCTTCAAAGGATTTTATCAAAGAAAAACTTTTAAAGAACTTGAACAATAGTTCAACACCATTTTACAAGACTGCTGTCTTATAAAACTCATGCTATGAGGTACCTTCATTTTCAACAAAATAGACCTTTTGGAATTTGTCTGCAACCTGCTGGTGCGATTCTGTTGTGAATTTGTGAATAGGATGGGGAAATATATTTTGTTCCCTTCAAGTAACAGTAACAGATGGGAGAATGGAGATCTTTTACAATTTTTTTTCTAGCAGCCATCCACTCCTCACAAGAACATGTAAATCCAGGCACCTTGGGACTAGTGCAGTATTGTGATTGGGAAGGTTTTCTTTTTCCCTGTATGGCTCTGGTCACTTTCAGGTCACCTCAAAATCCATTACACAAAGTTACAGATGGACTAACATCACCGTCTGTCCAATCCAAATCACAGAATTCTTACTATAATGCCAATTACTACCAATGCTTTAGTACTTAACCTAACATACAAATACATACTAGAAAGTAAACCCTGATGAGAAACTCAAGTGCAAGTAAAAAAAAAATAAAGCAGCTGTGGATGCAATCAGGAGACCAAGGGACCAACACTAGCAGTCAGGCTGACAATAAATACCAACAAAACTGGCTCTATTTGGGTAGTTTCTTTTGCTGCCAAGTTTTTTGGTTTTGGTGGTTGTTGTTGTTGTTTTAATGCAATGAAAGGATTAAAGTTTTGGGCCAAAAAGTACTATATACAGAAGGATTCCCCCTGAAATGTGAAAGAAAAGTTTTATTACAGTGCAATATTTCAAAGTATTTGCTTTGCCTATATAATTGTTTCCTAAAATTCAAATCACTTTCAGGATTGAGAATATCATTTCAAATGAAACACAGCTGAAGTGACTTAAAAATAACTAAAAATAAATGAAATACTTTATATTCTAGATACTTTAGCATAAACAAATTTACATTAAGTCAAGTTAGCCTGCATTCTGATAAAGGGGTATATATAGCTGACCTGATCCCAGTGAGCAGTTAACACTAGAATTATTTATCCATGACTGTCAGTGAAGCATAAGAAGCCTACTCAAAGAATAGTTCCATGAAAGCCCCTACAACATTTCTGTCCTTCTTCTTCCACTTCAAAAAGGGCAATGAAAATATAAACATCCATATAGTGAAAATGTGTCTGCTTTCATTAAACAAAGACAGTTTAAGGTCATTATCTGTAGATGATCTACGGAGCATGGCAAACACGTGTGAAAGACCTGGTACTGACCACAGTCACAGTGGTTTCACCGCAATAGTTTCATAATTAGTAACTGCATATTTATCAGCTTTACGTCTCCTCATACATTCATAGATGTAAATGAAATAAAACCATACATTAATCACCAGTTATATTCCACTAGATTCTGACATAGATATTCATACTATTTAATACTATTTGCAAAATCAGTGTTTTCTCTCATTAGATGCTCACCCAACTGTAAAGCGTTCTCTTGAAAATAAATGATACTCTTTTATGTTGTTTTTTTTTTTTTTTTCTGTATTAAAAAAAATAAATTCTAAAGTTACACAAGCAAATATGCCAGGTGCTGCAGTCACTTCCCTTGCATTGTTTTATCACATTTCTATTAGAATTTTCATCACAGAATCATAAAGCCATTAAGATTGGAAAAGACCACTAAGATCATCAAACCCAATTGCTGGCTCAACATCACCATGCCACTAAACCATGCTCTTAAGTGCCACGTCTACATGTTTCTTGAAAACCTCCAGGGACTGTGACTCCACCAATTCCCTGCACATTGTTCCAATGACTTATCACTCTCACTGTGAAGAATTTTTTCTTAATCATCTGATTGCCCTAGAGAATTCAAAAGAAATAGAGTTGCAAGAGAACCACACCCTCCCCAATGAGTCTTCATTTAGAGAGACTATGGACTTGTACATTAACACATAAAAATATTGTGTATTTATTTAAAATGACTTCTCATGAAGTACTTCACATGAAATCTCAAAACACAAATGAA